GCTGGACGGGCCTCCCCACCCCCGGGGCGGTGGCTGGAGCCCCGCCCGGGACTCCGGGAGGCCGTGGGGGGAAAGGTCTGTGGTGAAAACAGAAGGGGTTTAAGTGGCTGTGGGGGGGAAAATCGCTGCTTTCGGCTACAGCTGCAGGGTTGGGGTGGTTTCCTCTCAGGAGGTGTGTTGCTGGTACCCTCAGACAAGGTCGCTTTTTACAGAATTACAGGATTGTTAGCGATGAAAGGGACTTCTGGAGATCACCAAATCCAACCCCCCTGCCAAGGCAGGGTCACCTCGGGCAGGTGACACAGGAACGCATCCAGGTGGTTTGGAATGTCTCCAGAGAGGGAGACTCCACGACCTCCCTGTTTCGGTGCTTTGCCACCCTCAGTGGAAAGAATTTCTTCCTCATGTTGAGGTGAATTTCCTGTGTTTTAGTTTATGACCGTTTCACCTCATCCTATTGCTAGGCACCACCGAAAAGATTTTTTTCATATGATAACTTTTGGTTGTTTGTTTTAATACAATAACTTTTTAATATAATACCAACTTTTGCTTGCTTTTAGGACTATTCAATATGGATGAGTTTTCTTTTTTCTTTTTTTTTCCTTTTTTGTTTTCTTTCCTGGTTTGCTAGTTGAGTTCATCAAGCTCTTTGCATGGACAACTGAAGCAAATGTGAAAGTCAGGTTCAATAAATCTAGCAGCAGACTTCCCTCTTCTTCCCTCGTTGGCTGGCAGAAGGAAAATCCTCATCCCTAAGATCAAGGGACAAGACGACATACTCTCAAGCTGTGCCAGATTGTACATCTGGAAGAATTTCTTCACAGAAAGGGTAATTAGACACTGGAATGGGCTGTCCAGAGAGGTGGTGGAGTCACCACCCCCAGAAATGTTTAAGAAAAGACTGAATGTGACACTTATTGCCATAGTCTAGTTGTCATGGTGGTGTTTGGTCAAAGATTGGACTCGATGATCTCAGAGGTCTTTTCCAATATGAATGCATCTGTGATTCTGTGAAAGATGTAGGTAGGGATTAATAAAGGCCATGGAAAGTAAAAGACTGGGAGAAAGCGAGTTTGAAACTGGAACAAGAGGGTGCTTTCTGAGCCAGGGTGTGGGGGGTATGTGGGGCATGGGGTTCCTAACACTCACAGCACACTATCTCCCAGCACCGAGCTCCTTCTACAAGCAGACTGTTTCCCCTCTTCAGATTTTAACTCTCCCATAAGGCATATGATTCTCTGAAAGGACATTTCTTTCACAGCATCTGAAATAGGCTATGCTGATTTTATACTTGAAGTGTACTGGAAAACTAAGTTCCTTTTTTTGTTTTTTTTCTGTGTGGCTTTGGGAAATGAATGATTTTAAATAAAACTTGTGAGCAAGCAGTTTGTCATCAATTCTTGCCACAATGCTTGTGACTTTATTAGTTTCATGAACTTCAGCTTAGGCAGCCATAAGATCAAAGCATCCCATTTTCAAGACTCTTGAGGAAATACATTTTGTACATAGTCACTGTACATGGTTTCCATCATCCTCACTTTTTCATCCTCCATGCAGAAGAATGACTAAGTGACCTTAAGTTTTGGTGATTAATCTAATGTATAGTTTTTGAATAGCTCAAAAGCATTTTAATGTCCTCAGAAATACAGGTTATAGGGCTTCACATGTTGTGGGCACATGACTTGTGAAATGCAATGGAATGCCTTACATAGTTTGGAAGGAACCTTCAAGCTGAATTTTCTTGGCATGCTTTGCTGAATCATGCAGCACAGTGCCAGGAGCACCTACTGAAAACAAATGTTTGTTTTCCATTGATCTGTAGACAACTGGCTGTCTTCCAAAAGTAATCTCAGAGTCATCAGATGCAAATAATGGTAAATCAAATCCCATATAATTTCACTGCAATGCATTTTTTTAACGTATTTTCAAAAAGTCAGTGGCAATTCTACTTTTCATTTAAAAATAATCAATTAGAATGAATTGTTCCTCCTTTTAATTATGTAGTGACAAACTACTTTCTGAAATATTTAATTATTGACATTAATTATTGAATCATTGCCTGTTTACATACACATCAATTTCTTCAGTGGAAAATATGCCGTTTCCAACTAGGTCCATAGCTGACCAACACTTCCTTATAATTTTCTATATTTTCTCATTTCTTAACAATAAAAGAAGTTCAAGATTTTTCCTTTTTGGAAACTGCACTAGAAAAAAATGCGTTATCTGCTCCATGTGTGATGCTTTCCTTTATTTTTATTCTGATAAAATTTATTTAATAACTTCTTCATAAACTGTGCTAAGCTGGATGGAGATTATTATCAATTTTACTTGCTTGGGAAAGGCAATGTCAGTCATCCCAGCAAAAGTAAAGCCTTTGTTGGGAAAAATCTTTTCACTACTCAGTGGAATGTAACAGAGGTAGCCACTTCAATCAACTCAAATAACTAAATTGCTGCTTAACATATATTAAGGATCCTTAAAGATCGTGTTTACATTCTGTTCCATATTGCTGAAATGTAGGCCAAGATAAATATTTCAGGGCTGAAACTGACTTCTGACATCAGAAGTTAAATCTAACATTAGATGCAGTTCTTTGAGAGTGATTCTGAAAATACAATTTGAATGTTGGCTGGTTTGGGTTTGGGTTTGGGTGGGGTTTTTTTTCCCATTTCACTAGATGCCACCATTTCTATACAAAGTTTGCGAATAAATATAGAATCTTTTAGTTTTAATTGTGATGAAAAAATCATACACTGTCATCAACCATTTAATGCTGGCAACACTTTGGTACCTCATTGACTAGAGCAGGTCTTTACCAAACCTTCTAAATAACTGGGATCTATTAAAAAAAAAAAAAAAGTCAAAAGAAAAAAACAAACAAACAAGGAATAACAGAAAAAAAATGTGGTCTCCTGTGGATAGTAGATTCTGGAAATATTTCATCATGGTCTCGGAGTATGTGTCCATAGAATACATTCTTTCCATCTGTCTCACATTATTGTTACATGTGCTACATATTTTCTTTAGAGTTTTTAAAGAGTTAGTTGATGTTATATAATGACTGGAGAGGGTTTTGCTTCCTCTAGGAGCTTGAGGTATTTTATGAGAGAGGAAAACTCCCAGTTTCCCTGGTCACCCTCAGTGGATTAACATACCATTGTAGCTAGACTGAACAACAGGCTGCTGTTCATCATCAGAGACCTTCTTTGACTGTGGGGAGAAAGCTTTGGAAGCACTTTTTGCATTTGTTTGCATTCTGTTTTGAATAGGTGGACAAATAATTGTCAGTAGGTATAAAGCTGGAAACAGACAACATAAAAAGAAACAGCAAAGCTCTGGAAAACTTCTAGAAGCAAATATGGCATTTTAGACAAGGTGGCTGAGGAGCTTGGGGGAGTATTCTGCTAATATCAGGTCAGATTTTGAGGCTGACTTCCACCAGAGCACACTGGGCTTAGGAGTTATCACCGCTTAGGGCTGGCTGCATTTCACTCCTGTGCAGACAAAGTAGGTACCAAGATTTTGAGCTGTTGGTGCTGATTCAGCTGAATCAGCAATGATATGGGAGAGCCAGGATGTGGACTCTGAACTGTGCAGTTTAAATGAACCCAAGTCCCCTACGTGCATGTAGCTGGATGGCACACGGACAAAGAGCACACTAAGGTTTAGGAGATTAAGAGCTAATTATGGTGACTGGAATGATACCGCCATCAAGAAACAGAACTTGACCTTATAAAGCAGCATTGTTTGGAGGTATGAAACAAACTCAACAAACTCAAAAATATTTTAGTTCTGTTACCTCAGCAGTTCCTGAATATGGAGAGAGTACTCCACTCCCTGCACTTTCCTGTGTTCTTCTTGGTTTCTTGCTTCACTGGATGAGCAAGGGCATTTTGAACTGCTGAGTAACCATAAGGAGAAGATAAAATAGAATTTTATTTATGATTTCAATAAACTCAATATTTGGAAATGATACATAAATGAAGATATCCTGACTCTCAGTGAAAATATTTCTGGCAGTAAGAAGTGCATGCTGTGCTTTGCCAATGCATTGCGCATATTATGAGTCTGATTCTTGCAAAAGCAAAATTATCATTGATTTGAGTAGGATGCTTTCTTAAACATGTGGATTTTAAGTTCGCTTGTTTTGTTTAAGACAGTTTGCATTAGCGATGGAAAGGATTAATTTGGTTACCTGCCTTAACCCTTACCAGTGAGGATTTTCCCTGCTGGCAGATCATTGACTGATACAGGCTCCCATGGCTGCACAGAAGGTGGGAGCTCCAACAGGCTGTAGCAGTGAGGGTCAGTTTTGTGTTAA